GATCCAGATGCGCTTCTTCGCCGTGCCTGGGTCCGACCTGGCTCTCTCTCGAAGTTTTGCAGTCTCAACATGTGCATGCTGCAGTTAGTCTAAGTAGCCCAGCCCACAGCGCAAGCAGCCCAGGAATGCACCACAGCATTGTCGCGATGCTGCTCGCAGCTGGTCATCACAGTCGACACGGAGACCTCTTCAAACGACTGCAGTCGCTCTTGGGAGGCGAGCCTTGGCATCTCTCAGCAGCTTTAACTTTGCAAGGGCAATAATGGGGGAAAGTATCAAGAGTGTAAGGGGGTTTGCTTGGGTTTTTTTGGATGGACAATGTAAGGACTAAGGCTTGAATAATCGTGGATATCTTAAAGCTGTCGGTCCTTCTTTTAAGTCCTTGTGCTCAGGATTATCTCACTTGATACCTGAGCACTGATTTTGAAAATGTCAACGTCGGCCTGTACAATACTTAAAATTGTACGGATACATAAAACACAGAAAGAAAGGAAGGAATCGGCCAGCAAAAGGCTTCAAAAGTGGTTCGTGCTTTGCTTGCAGAAGCTCTTGTGGAGGCCCTCTTCGTCAATCTATGAGGCTGTCTGTGTCTGTGTTTTGGAGATCTCCTTTTTGGGCAGCAGCCGGAAACTACAGCTTGCAAATTCCAACGCATCTCAGCAGACAACGAGCGAACAAGACCCTGCAGTGGAACGACGCAGGAAGCTACGGGATTTGGCCCCCGGGGGTTACCCCTCTTTCATCGCGGCATTACACCTTGCACATGCTGGCACTTTCATATTTAGTATTTCTTTTCAGAGACCGTACTAGACTAGCCTGTGGGCTCATTCTCTGCAGAACTGCGTGGAATGAGCGCAAACATCAACAAAAGAGCCGAAGTCCGTAAACCTTGGGCGGCCAAGAGTCTTTGGAGGACGACCCGCAGAGATCGTGGGTGGAAGGGCTGTTATTTGTCCAGGGGATTAAGATCAGTGCCTTGTTTTGGCTGGTCGAAGTGGCTCGCATGTTGATGGGATCTTCGCTCCAACCCTCCACTAGTTATAAATGCGCACTTGGAAACGCAGAAGCTTGGCCTTTTGTGCTGCGTACTACTATCAGTCGAGTAAAGGAGCTAGTTCAGCTTCATTTCTGAACCCAGGAAAGAAAAACTTGCAGCTTGTAATTCCTGCATGGATCTTAGGCTCGATGTCTCGAGATACTGGGTGTGGACTTTGTGTTTGAGGAGTACCAGGATCTCTCTGCCATTGTTGTTACACTATCAGCTTCACAGTTTTCAACAAACCTTTAAATTCAGGCCACGCGCCAAAGCCAGAGGAACATGCTTGCATTCTGAGATGCCTAGCGTTACGACAGCCGCTGATGAGGCGAGAGCTCATGCTGTACTGCCCGGTCTGTGTAGCCCTTTTGGACTTCCTCAAGCAGACGCATTTCCACAACTCTCAGAAGTGAAATCCGCAATGCAAGACCAAGAGTGTAAGTACAGCGGCTTGCTTGACCACGCCCAAAGAGTGTCCGATAGATACTCTGATACATACCCCCCCCCCAACATACCTGTAAACAAAAGCTGGGTATCTACGAAGCATACCGCGAAACATACCGCGACCCAAACACGCTTTCGGGGGGGTTCCCCTGTTGCCAGAAACACACATATTCTCTGATCAAGCTTTACAATCGTCAGGTCATGCATGCGTTCATACTCAACTCTAAAGACCCAAGGGCGCATCTTAGATATGGAGTTTTCTTAAACATCAACTGGGCTTGGGTAAAAACGCCCGTGTCAGAATTTATACAAGAGCGGTCNNNTGCTGCTTCCCTTGTAAAACGATAACCAACACACAAAAAACGATAATGTTTACAATTCCATATTAGACAATCCCCCTGTAAAACGATAACCAATAAGAAATAACGATAAGGTTTAGAATAGGATAGGAAGAGTGGCCATGGGGTTTTCACACGAGCCCAACTGCTAAATCAAGTGCTAAAGATGACTTTATATGTCTGTTTAGCTCATGTGTTTTGGGGAAACAGGAGATCCGTGAGGGACGACCTCAACCTGCCTGGGCTCCGCATCTCAGCTCAGCGGTTGGGGCTTCCTGCATCACGGGTCCGCCGAACTGCAGTTTCCGCCTTATACCCTTGCAAGCAAGTCTTGCTTTACCTTTGACAATTTGGAACCACTCTTGAACAATTGACCCAAAGCAAGCGTGTGCTGTACCCAGAGAAGAGAGATTAAAAGCTGTTTGGAGTCCAAGGAGCCTTACCCCAAGAGGTGAATTCCAGGTTAGCATGTGGAGTTTCTACAATCCTGCTTAGAGGGTGTAGAAGCCTTGGCGTGTTTCTTTGTATGGAGGCGCCTCAAATTTTGGAGGCAATAATCTGCTTCGCGCTCAACGTGTTGAGACATTGATCGAAAAGTTCGTTTGGAATCTCCGTGCAGCCTCACACCGGCGGCGGGCCACGTGTTAAACTTCCATCACCAATGGACAATTGCAAGGCGTATGAGGGTGTCAGTCACCCCTCCCATGGAAGCGAGAGCATGTGGCTCTGTTGAGCTCCACCCGCGTCGGACGCTAACGAATCCTCCATGTCAGCCTCGAACTTAGGTTTCGGCCATTTAGATTCGCGAGCCTTCTTTGTTCTCCTCATTTGATTTTAAGTTCGAGTGGAGACGCACACCTGAAGGTTGATGGTACTCGGCATTCCAGCTGCTAGGGCGTTGGGGATCTGTGGGAATGAGATTGGGTTACACTTAGCCACTGTGGCCATCAAGCTGATGACCTTGCATTTAGTAGTCAAGCACATCTAAATGGAGGGTCATTTGTTCGGAGACTTCGTTAATCTAAAGACAGCGCAGGAACGTACAAGGAGTGCTTTTATGCCCAAACAAGCGTAAGACGAAGTCAATGTGTCTCCCAGTATTGTAAGAGGACTTGTGTCTTCTGACCTTGCCTTGAGAGGGCTTCGTGTAGCCATGTTCCGGGCTGCGTTTGAAATCGACTCAGGTATCTCATTGATGTGACACCGTCACCAGGGTATGGGAGGCGCGGCCAGGGGGGGTGGGTGCACCATCACGCGAGCCTGCTGCCACCAACACCACATGCAGACGTCTCGTTCCAAGAGCGCCTGCTTTCCTGCACCAAAAATGTGCGGCATGTGCTTACATCCAGAGGCAAACCTTTGCAGGCAACAACTGTTTCACTTTCAAAGCTCACCGTACTCAGTCAGATGTGGCTGTCTAGGAGTCTAGCTGTCCTGCCGTGCCTTGTCCGAGTATACCAGCTCTGCGGTGCGTGCAGCAGGCCGACTCCTGCTGCATCACACGGAATGCTGCGCGACTTTTTCCGTGCATTTGTGCCTTGAACTGGTGCGGCAAGTGGGTCTCAAGGGAAGGCTAGAGGCTTGGCGGAGGCTCGTGGATCTATCGGCTTATGTTCAACATGATGGCAATCTGGCGTAGGCAGAATTGGGCATCTGTTGGAGACTGCCATGAGATAGAGGTTGCTACAAGTGCGTAGTCGCGGGGTCTTGCATCACTTCATGACTGAAACAATTGCTTATTACATTGTTTGTCAGTTCAAGCCATTTCTAGCTTGTGAAAGATGTTGAGTATGTAGGACTAGCTGATGTCCTACCTTAATCTTCGATCTACAACGTGACAAGGTCACTGGTGATCCAGACCCAGAGCAGCCCAGCGAGCTCAAGAATTCATCTGTCTGGGAGGACCAGTGGCAGGCAGCATGTCCCACATTTCCCCTCATTGCCTTACGAGTCTTTACGTGCTCTATTGACAAGCGCAACCAATGCTCAATCAATGCTCAGTGTTGCTACAGCACAGACAGGATCACGCAAGGCGTTCATGAAGTTTGTACAAGTCTGCAGCAGCAGCAGCAGCAGCAGCAGCAGCTGTTGTACATGTAGTGGCTGTGTCAGTCCGACCCAACTTCCGTGCAGGGGAATAAGTTCGTGTGTGGCCGGCACAAGGGAACAAATACTGCCTTTTCCGGATGTTTCGCATCATCTGTAGCTAATTTAACTTCAAGCCGGTGACTACTCGTGGACGCAATATGAGAGAATTCGCAATGTAATGGACTCAATTTGACCCAACTTGCCCCAAACGCGAATGTTCCCAATGCGCAAATGCACTTCTGCAGGCCATCATCAAAAAAGCTGAGTCGATCGGGCTGCAAGTCGTCCACGAGGCATGCGCTGGACTTCTGAGCATCTTGAGCGCGTTCTCACTGTACTGAGCGAGGTGGGACAAGGCAAAGGAGTCGAGTCCACGCCCTCGAACCTCAAAACCCAACGTGTATTATCCAGGCCCCAGCATTACGCCGTCCATCTCGTGATTGGCGTGAGAGATTTCGCACCGTAATGTGCCATCCTCGTCGTATCGTAGCATCCCATTGTGTAACAACGGGACAAGTATCGACTGTAGCTCTAGGGACAGGCATGCGCAATGGAGCGTGATTCACAGAGCAGACAAGATTCGGCTGGTCATGTCTGTTGTTGGCACCCAATGCCCTCATGCATGATAGCATGCGGCCAGGACCGCGAGCTTTTCCATCGCTTGAACTTAGAGGCGCAAGCCAGCAGCAGGTGCCTCCGGATCATGCTTCCATCTTCAACCCTGGCTTTCTCGAAGAATTCTTAAGGCTAGTTTCATGCCTTTTGCTCCTACCGTCTTAGAGGAGGGCATTTGAGTTGTCTAACGTGCCACTTGCCCGCTATTCAGCGACGTGAAAGACTCGAAGATCGTTGACACGGATTCGACAGCCTAGAAGCAAGCCCCACATGTGCGGCCGGTTTGCGTAGTTTAGCGTTAGGTGGATTCGGCTCTTCCCACCGGCGAGGCCGCGTGCAGGGGCAAGGAAAAGCAAGTTGGGTAGACTAATTTCGAGTTTGTGCTTGCAAGTCACGAAGCCTCTCGCATGTAACAGAATTTGCCTTGAAGACCCACCCAACAGCCATGATGATTGAATGGTAACAGTACCTGTGTGCAGGGGTGGCCCGGTTGGAGCTGACTTTAACTACGTGCCGCTCTTTGCTGGTGGCCTGAGCCGGGAGGAGTTCACCTGAACAGGGTTTGAGGTCCAAGGAGTCCAAGGGCGCGGGATTTGAAGATGTGAGTGAGGCCCGTGTCAGACTTGGAAAAATGAGATACGGAATCTGTGAATTGACGCTTGGTGACTTGGTGTCAGTTTTAGAACCACTTCTCTGGCGAGCCTTCAGCATTTGCGCGCTTTGGTCCAGTGGCATCTAGTGGCAGTCTGCTATGAAGGTCGCTGGCTGGTTCATGGTTGAAGGCCACAGGGCTGCATGTCGCAAATCTGCTGAATTCGTGCCGTTGCCTAGAAGTTCATGAAGGTTTCTGACGTACCTGGTCCTACAGCTGATCTGTTGGCCATCAAAATGGGGAAGACTTGACAATGCCCTGGACCACCCCGCGGTGTGAGCAGGATGCTTTATCCATGCTGTGGGCTGGAGCACCACCAGAGGAGCTTGATTTGAGAGGTGGGCCCCACCTTGTGCATAGATGACTTGGTCAAGTCTGCGGGATTTTTTTTGCGAATGTTAGCGAGGTACGGCTTTTTTTGGGGGTGCTGCCATATCTGCTTTGTGGGAAGAACATGTAGCCTCAAGAGCAGGCAAGGAAGGATACAGTAGCCAGGTTCCAACGCTTCAGATTATGTTTCTGATAACCATCGATGCGAGAGTTGCCTTCAAGACAGCCACGCTCCCAGAACGATAGCCACAAGCTGTGCAACCCAAAGCCCTAAGCGCAAGGCGCCTTCCCAAAGTCCACCCAAGTTGTGGACAAGGTGCTGAAGTGCCCCTTGGCAGTGCAGTTCGCGGCGACAGAGTCGGAAACCAACCCTGAGAAAGCCAAATGATGATATGATGAAAGCACAGGTCTGAGTCTGCACACGATTGCAACTGGTACTTCAAGCAGAAGATGCGTAGTGACGGCGTAGTGTACCCATCCAGCTTCCTGTCTCTACCTTTGCTTTTGCTCGCAGGTGGCTCGCCTCACTTTTCCAGTTCTGATATATACCCCATTATTCTATAGAATTTTCCATTTTATTTTCCATTATCCCAATATAACCCCAATATATACCCCATTATTCTATAGTAGTTTCCATTTGATTTTCCATTGTCCCAATATAACCCCAATATAACCCCTATATAATCCCTGTATAATCCCTACATGAACCCTCTGCCTCTTGCGCAGCCACGAAGGCAGAAGGCCCCATGGCTTTCACGTCGCCCGATGCA